CCAAGAGAAGTTTTTGCTTTTTTAGATGATAAGGTGCATTATGCAATAAGAGTATTTGGCAAACTATGCAATGTGAAGGTGCAGTGCAGCAGAGCAATGGATAGGAAAAGGAATCCAGAAGCAGATTCTTCTTAGATGGAAATCCACATATGACAGAGCATACACTGCACTGCACTACACATCACTGGGGAAACACTCCAGAAACTAAATGTGGGGTGTGTCATAAATGAACTGGAGTTGAATCCTCCAGTGTAATGGCAGTTTGGGATGGGTCCTTTGAACAATAGTTGGATTTAGAGGAAATCATGAGTGTGGGGTGCCATGGTGGAACTAGTGCCCTTCTTATAAGGTTAGCACTCAGGTTCTCTTCAGTGGGTGAGGACGTAGGGAAGGCAAGATGGGAGGGAGCACTATCAGCTGTGAGCCTTGCCAATCAATACCTTGCATTTAGACCTCTCAGGCTCCAGAACTGTAAGAAATCAATGTCTGCTTAGATGCTTATCCTGTGGGATCTTGTTATGGCATCCAAGCAGACCAATTCAAGATGCCTCTGTTATATGAGGGGGGAAAAAACTCTAATCTGGGAAGACAGAAATTACATTTGATACATACATATGTATAAGAACAATTTAAAAGGTAGGTAAGTCAGAGGCCATAAATTTGAGAGAGATTGGGGTAGGGTGTGCATGGAAGAGATAGAGGAAAAGAGAAAATGAAGTAATTATATTTTAATTTCAGAAAATGAAGATTTTAAAACTTCTGGCCATGAATGGTAGCATCCTCCTGAAATCACAGCACTTGTGGGGCAGAGGCAGGAGTGTCATTACAAGTCTGAGGCTAGCTTGATCTACTCTCTATAATGAATTCAAGGTCAGCCAGAGATACATAGTGAAAATCCATCTCAAACATTACCAAACAAATCCCACAAACTCGAAAACTTGCAATAGAAAATAAAGGAGAAATATATTCACAACATCCTGGGATTTCTTAATACAGCCATGCTACTTTACAGTGGAAAACACTGATGTAGCTAAAGTTTTCCTAGTCCTGCCTGGCCATGGTCAGGACAAATCTCTCTCACCCACCAGTCCTGCAGCAGCTTGGACCCAATCAAACACACAGAGACTTAATATTATTATAAACTGTATGGCCATGGCAGGCTTCTTGCTATCTAGTTCTTACATCTTAAATTAACCCATTTCTATTAATCTATAAGTTGTGACGTGGCTTGTGGCTTACCAGTACTTGACATCTTCTCATGGCGGTAGCTGGCAGCGTCTCCTCCCTCAGCCTTCCTGTTCCTAGAATTCTCTTCTCTGCTTGTCCTACCTATACTTCCTGCCTGGCTATTGGCAATCAGCATTTTATTTATCAATCAATCAGAGTAACACATTTACAGCATCCCCAGCACTTCTCCTTTTCTTTTTTTTCCAAAAAGGAAGGTTTTAACTTTAACAAAGTAAAATTACATATAACAAAACAATTATCAAGCAAGAATTACAGTTATAATATCTAGTCTATAATATCTAGTCTATTTGTATTTGGCAAAATTAAAGAAGATATTCTATCTATCCTATATTTGTGAGTCTAAGGTTTTATATCTAATTTATCTTTTATCATAACTAAGGAAATTATAACTATCTAGTCTTCAACTACATCAAAGACCTCAGAAGGATATAATATTACCTGAGATATGGGAGAAGGACACAAGCAACTTTCAGGAGTCTTGCAAGAGTAGACAGAGACAGTTGGCAGACTGGACAGTCATCCAAAGTTCCTCTGTAAAGGCATCTGTCTTCAGCCCACAGGCCTATAGTCTCTCAGTCACTTCTTTCTGTGTCCTGTAGAATGTCTGGAAGTTTCCTCTGCAAAGCAGGAACCTGAAGGACCATTTTGCCAAGCAAAGTTCAGTGGTCACCTTACTATGGATCCTGCTTGTCCAGTAAATCAAGCAGTCCAGGAAAGAACAGTTTCTTGCCCAAATGGCTATTTTTGCCAAGAAGAAGATAAACTCCATATAGAGTGTCTTCTATGCTCATCCTCCTCTCTGAAGTAAATCAGTGCTGCCAGGAGCAGACATGTCTCCCTGTCCAGAAAGTCTAAATTTTTAAAACATTTTAAATGCCATATTCTGTAGGTCATTGAAGTGTTTGAAGATTACCTAATTATATCTATAAATACCTAGAAAACTTAACATGACTATAAGTTTGACTATCATAGAAGACTAATTATTAATCTATATTTTTAATTATCCATTTCAATCTAAATAAGTTACATAGACATAATACCTCAAATGAGAGTAGAAATATATATATATATATATATATATATATATATATACAGTATAAGAAAATTAACTTTAAATTTGTATCAATATTCCGTACTAATGTAAAACATTTTTAAACAAGTTGTTCTTTAAAAGTAGCTTCAATAATCTACCCTTTCATCCTATCATATCTATATCATATTCCCCTTTTTTCTTTAGAAAGAGATCAAATTTATAATCAAATAAATAAATAAATAAAATATTTTAAATAAAATAAATAAAATATTGGTTCTTTAAATAAAAGTATTGGTTTTTCTCTGTCCCACACCAGAGGGCTCTTCTGATATGGGAATTTTTTTTTTTTTTTTTTTTTTTTTTTTTAGCAGTATGCTTGTATTTAGAGAAGGAGTGAGCCAGTTCCATCTCCAAAGCCAGGTTGGTACATTTGGAAATTTGGGTGTAGCTTCTCATACTACTTCTTGTTGGATGAGGGCACTGTATTCTTATGGGGACATAAAGAAAATTTTAGGGTTATGGGGTAGTCCATAAGTCTGTATTGTCTGAGCCAGTTGCCTTGAAACCATTCTGGATGGTGGATCATCTGGGCCATGGTGTCATTGGAGACCTTTTAGGGGGTCTTGGCTGGTCAAACCTGATGTATCTTAATCTGGAACAAATCCATAGCTTCTTGCTTTCTGTGGAAACAAAAGAAGAGCCTCCTTTCCAAAGCAAGATATACTTAGATCCAAATTTTGAAATCAAGATACCTTTAAAATATACATATTGGTTTAACTCATCTGCCTTTACAATCAAACATCTTTCTGCAGTTAAAAATCCCAAAGACAACACAATCCAGATTCTCTATGTATTATCTATCTTTACATGGCTTATTTTTATATTACCTTTACTTTGTCTTTAAAGACTTAATTTTTTAAAACTTTCTATTGCTTTATATAACTGCATATATTACATTTTTCTCTCTTCCAAGCCTACATACATGTTTACACACGTTGTAAACAATTTAGAGGTTTATCTCATCTGAATCTGTCTTATTGTGAATCTATTGCTTTAAACTGTAGCATTTTCTGTCCACCTCAGCTTCCCAACATGGTGGTGGTACATTTACTGCCAGCTTTTGAGGAACCATGCTCACTGCTGGACTCTCGAGGCAGTGGGTCTATGCCTCTGTCAAAGCAGCATGTAGCCCAGAAAACATTTTTTTTTTTTAACTAGTAAGAAAACTATATCTACCATACAGCATAGTACGTAGCTTGGAGACACCTCTGTGTAACATGGCATAGGTCAAGCCTGCATGCCACAAACCCACCATAGAGTAGCTCAAGCCTGCAGGCTGCAGCTAACTTGAGAGAGACAACTAGGAACCTGTTTTAGCTCCATTTTAGAATCTTCTTTTTTTTAAGCATTCTCAGGTTTTAGGTGGAATCTCAAACCATTGGGCAACATATGTTGCTGGAGAGTTTCTCTCCAGTCCCACCAAGCCCCCATAGTCCCACTACCCACTTATAAAATAATCACTCAGAAGCTTATATTACTTATAAACTGTATGGCCATGGCAGGCTTCTTGCTATCTAGTTCTTATATCTTAAATTAACCCATTTCTATTAATCTATAAATTGCCACGTGGCTTGTGGCTTACCGGTACTTTACATCTTCTCATGGCGGTGGGGGCTGATAGTGTCTCCTCCTTCAGCCTTCCTGTTCCCAGAATTCTCTTCTCTGCTTGTCCTGCCTATACTTCCTGCCTGGCTACTGGCAATCAGCATTTTATTTATCAATCAATCAGAGTAACACATTCACAGCATCCCCAGCACGCTGATACATTTTATGACAATAGGCATAAGAATTTCTATTAAAAGTCACCATGGAGTCCAGACAGATACCTCAGTGGGTAAAGGGAGGGTCTTGTGCACTGCAAGAATATATTATAGATATTCAGCTGTGTATTAAAGCTATACTTTGACCGGCCAAGGGTCTGTCAAAAGGCAAGCCATTTATTATTAATATTTGGTATTATCCAGCCTTTAATATTTCAGCTGTCTTCTGCTATGAAATTCTTACATGCCCAAATATTTCCAGACTATTTGGCTAGCAGTTCAGCTCCCCAGACCTGCTGAACTTCTAGGTTGCTAACTCCCCTGCTGAGGCTAGGAGAATAGCTGGCTGGAGACTCATAGCTTTGCTCATATGCTCTGCCTCAAGGCCTAGTGGCTCTCCTGAGCAATTGACTGAGAACAAAAGAGGTTTTTAACATATCGAGGTGGAATGTAGAGCAACATTCCTGAGGAGGCAGAGAACTGTGTGGCCAGGGAGAGAAGAAAGAGGCATTTTCTCTAGAGCAGAGAGAATGGTATGATCAGGGAGAAGAGAAGAACACAGAGGTAACACAGAGGTAGATGGTAAGGCAGAACTCTTAAGCCAGGAGGAGAGAGCTAGTAGGATGGAGGGAGAAGAAACAAAGGATGAAAATGAGGTGAGAAGCATCAGAGCTTAGCCATTAGCAGGACTATGAGAGCGAATCGGACAGAACTGAAGTTATAGAGACAGGATTTCCTCTCAGAGAAATAAAATAGATGGACAAAGAGCTTGGTGTATTTAGAGTTATTCCCGCCCTGAATGCCAGATGGAGCTGTAGCTGTGTAGATAGTTTTATTGTAGAGGAATAAAGTTAACAGACATAAGAGCATAGTGTACATAGTTTTTTTTTTTTCCTCAGATATCCCACACTGGGCGTAGCGAAATCCCCAGGACCCTGGACCATCCAGGAGGAGTTCAACAAGCCTGAAGACCTGAGTTCCACCCCCAGAACCCATGTAAAAAGCAAGATTGTGGCATGCATGTAACCGTAACAGTCCTACAGTGAGATGGGAGACAGGCTCAAAGGCAGGCTAGCCTAGCGTATGAAGCACAGGAGCAACCAAAAGAGACCTTGACCTAACTAATAACATACAAAGCTAGAACGGGCCCTGCCCCCAAATTGTCCTTTTGCCTCCACACTTGGTACACATAAGTACCCATACACACACACAAATTACAGTAAGTCACACACAGAGTACACACAATATACACACCACCATAAACTGACAGATGACTATAGTGCATATAACTAACATAGACTTACATACAGACTATAAAAAGAACTTAGATCATCATGGAGGAGAAAGCAGCAGAAGAGTGTGCTGAATAGCCTTTCACAAGAAAGGAAGCCAGAATGACAAATAAACACATAAAAAAGATGATCAACCTTGGCAGCCAAGAAAAAAAGCAGTCATGGCGTTTCACATGGATACACATACACCCTAACCAGCATGAGGAGAGCAAGAGTTGGTGAGAAAGTGGAGCCCTGGAAATGGTGACATCTCACCAGCAGGGGACCTACTTGAGGAGCCACTGTGGAAAGGGCCTTGTAACTACTTGGAAATGTTGAACAACTGTATCTAAACTTCAACAGGGAATACACTCTAAAAAACAGTGGCACTGAGAACCAACAGACGAACATAAAGTCATTCTCTGTTATGATATTCTGAATCACAATTAATAACCTGAATGTCATCATTATAAAAATACTAAGGGGCTGGAACAAAGTCTCCATAGTTAAGAACACTTACTGCTCTTGCAGACGCCCAGGTTCAATTCCCAGGACCCACATGGGGACTCTTAACTGCCTGTACCTCCAGCAATAATGCCCTCTTCTGACCTTGGTAGGTACCAGGCACAGACATACATGCAACCAAAACACATTTACCCATAAAATAAAAATCAGTGGATAAAATCTTTCTAGAAAGAATGCTTATAGGTCATATGTTAGAACAATGAAATATTGTATACAATAAAAATACACAAACCACATCCACTGCATTCATCTCTGTTGTTAAATGTTATAATTAATGTTGAGTGTAAAATATGGTAAGTTGTGGCTGGAGAGATGGCTCAGAATTTAAGAGCCCTGGCTGCTCTTCTAGAGGTCCTAAGTTCAATTCCCAGTATCCATATAGTGGTTCACAACCATCTATAATGCGATTTGGTGCCCTCTGTGGTATGCAAGCAAAACACTGTATACATATAAATAAATCTTTAAAAAAAAAAATCAGGGAGCAGGCAAGCATGTAGGACATTTAAAAAAATGGTAAGTCAAAGAAGAGCTATGAAAAGCAGTAACAAAACTTCAACACACACAGGGACTATGGGAACAGAATACCAAGAGTAAAAGTACAAGTGTGTTCTCTTCTTCATCGGGTGGTTTCATGCCTGCTCATTTACCTACTCTCTCATTGTTCTGCTGGTGTACATTATTCACAGGGTATTTCCTGCTTCTGCATCATAGAAGCAAAGCCTTAGTTAATTTCAGATCTCTGTTCTCAGTTTCTGGACACAGTCACATTAAAAATAGTGCATATTATTATAGTGCATATAATAGAGGCAGATTATAAAACAGTCTGTAATTCCACTCATAGCACTTCCCTTCTCCTACGGCCATCCAAAAGCCTGGGTAAATGCTTCATGATGAATCACACATTCTTTTTTTTTTTTTTTTTTTTTTTTTGGTTTTTTCGAGACAGGGTTTCTCTGTGTAGCTTTGCGCCCTTTCCTGGAACTCGGTCACTTGGTAGCCCAGGCTGGTCTCGAACTCACAGAGATCCGCCTGCCTCTGCTTCCCGAGTGCTGGGATGAATCACACATTCTTAATTCTTTTGCAGTCCAGAATTTTCCAACAATGACCCAGAAACTCTTAGTTCTGGAAGAGGGCTGCAATGTTATTGATCTCATGGCTAGGAGGTCTCTGTAGCCTGACACCATATTCCTGTCCTTTTTGAGGAGACCTTTCCCCCAAGGACCTGCCTCACCTGGACTGTGGTCAGCCTCTGTGTACACACTGTTGCTCTCTCCACAAAACCCCTAGATGGCAACTTCCAGGATCCCCACTGAGCTACCTAAAACTTCTCTAGCTATTTTTTGGCTCCATTTGCCAGATCATTACAAAAGAGTCTGTCTGGATGGTATGAACAATGCCTCCCTACCAAAGCCTGAGATCAGACTTCATCAGAGCTCATCATCATGGCTGGATTCTATACCCATATACTTTTGTTAAATGCCCCCAAGGGGTGCTATTTTGGGCACACTCGATATTACTATGAACATCCTTCCTATTCCATTCATTTAATCCTCTTCAGTTGCCTCCTGATTTTGGCAGCTGGGATTTGAAGATAATCCTTGCTCTCCCCAGCATCCATTTTTGAGTTTACAAATGTTATTCAAAATGAAGAGGTCTGTTCCTTCCACAATATCCCAAATCACTCTAGCTTTATCAACAGCTATTCTCCATACCTTCTCTTCCTTTCCTACATGAAGATGGAGCCCAACATGACCTTGGCCACACTTTCCTTATCTACATAGCATGACAGAGCTGGCACAGGTACTTCAGGGCACGTGGAGAGAACTACTAAGGTGTGAGGAAGGCTCTAGATTGTAAATATATGAGGTCTGAAGAGTACTTTAGGGGTATTTGGTCCTGGGGTAAAGATTTGGGGGTCTTCTTCATTAGCAGACTAAGTCTCTGACTCACTCAAGGCTCAATCCTAAATTGGATCAGTGCCTGAGCCAGAAAATGACTTGGTCCCTCTGGATGCCAAGGTGAAGAGAGCACCACTGGCCTCAGAAAAGGCACTAAGAGTAGACTCAGGGAATCTCAACAGGCATCTTGAAACCATCAGTTTCCTAAGAAAGTCCAGTTTTGCTCAGCCTGGAACTTTAGGCGGGCTCAGTAGGGACTGACAAGGATGTAAATGGAGGGAAAGTATGCCATGGAATCCCATGTTTGAAATGTAAGCATGGCTACATAGACTCTGTGCCTCCTCTCCTAAGTCTGACATGAGACGACCTTCTGTGGGTCAGTTTTGCCTTCTTTTCAGACTGACTGACTTAGAATTTTAATGAGTTTTATGTTTGAAATTGCAATGCTAAGCCTTCTCAAGCACAGACAGGCTCAGGGTTAAAATTGAGGATTTGATCCTGAAAGCGTTGTTGAGCCAATAGGAGAACCCAGGAACGGACTTGGTACTGTCAATCAGGCAATGGACTTTCAGCTTAGAGTACAATGAACAGGATTCCAGGACCCAGTTAGTACAACCTGAGATATCTCTGAAGAAAATGTTGTGAGGACTGATAAAGAGCTAAGGAAGAGGAAAAGTGATTCCTTAATAGTTTTAGCAAATGATTCTTGTATACATTAAAATCAATGTTCTTAAAAACCTATCCCTCCAGACATACAAAGAGCTTCTAAAAAACAAAAATTCATTGTGACATTTGTAGTTTGCTTCCAAATAACATAATGTGTAAGCAGTCTGTTTCCATGAAAACTAATAAGCAACTCCTCCACACCAAATGAAGAAATGCTAGGCTCACATTGGTGACATACTCGATAAACTTCCAAATTATGCGCCAAATCTAAGTAGTAGTCCACCACCACTTTACCAAGTCAGAGCGAAAGAACCTGTCAAACTTATATACAGAGAAGTGAAGCTTCCCCTCTTCATCTTCAAGGTCATTGTAGGGAACAGAAAATAAAAACACCTCATCTGGCTCCAGTAACCATATTAATTCGTGAGAGCCTGTATGGAGACCTAAGCTTCCCACAACCCAGCAGCCTTCCCTCTTCCATGGTTCACCATCTGGTAGAAGAGGCTCTATAGCCAGAGAAAACAAGGTTATCCAACCAAGATGATCCCTCAGCCTGAGACTCAGCTGGAGACAACGGAATTAGGCTCTGCCTGGAAGTTGTTAACTTGAAGGTGAGCTGGTAATTGTGGGGATGCTATAGGTTTAAATCCCTCCAGAAGGCCGAGTAGGGGTCCTTGTCTATAGCGTGAGGCCTGGAGCCTGAGGACCAGCAAGGGACGAAGGCGAGGTCCCAGAGCAGGAGCCGAGAAACCAGAGCTCTGAGTATGCCTGGAGCAGCAGTAGGAAGCCCGCGGACCAGGAAACGGCCGGAATCCTCCAGGGCAGCAGGAAGTGTGCTGGCGTCAGTGCCGGGGGGCGGAGCCTGCGGGAGTTCTTCATCCCGCCCCCGCAGAGGAGCGCCTCTCCCGATTGGACCGCGTCAGCATGATGGGCGTGGGCAGCGTTTTCTTGTCCAGAGATGGCTTCACAGGATTTCAGAGTAGTTGGCGCTCCGGGTCCTGTGTTGCAGGCGTCTGCTGGAAAATGGCTGAATACTTCTTGCCTTCCATCTTTAGTACCGAAAAACTTCAAGTGAGTAGGGGCGGCATACCGGGGCTTGGGCCGAGACGGCGAATGGTAACGGGTGGGAGGCCCTGGCGGCCTCGCGCGTCTGTGCGCCCCTGCTTCATGGGTCAAGCGGTGGGACCTGGCTGGCAGCTCCGGATGGGCCTTGGGCTCCGTGGGGCTCGGTACCAGGTTCAACGCGGGACTCTGCCCCACGCCGCACTCCCACTGATGCCCTGGCTTCTGCGGCGAGTTAACAGTTTTTTGCAACTTTGGGCTTTGAGTGTCCAGTCAGTATTGCCATGGCACCATCCTTGCTTAGACTCAGTCTCTGGGGCTAATCATTGGGAGCGGTTTCGACCAAATAAACTTCCTGCCTACCTCAGGGTGGGGAGCCTGCTTTTCTTTGTAAATTAAGGTTTGCATAGGGTAAGCGAGAAAATAATACCATTTTTACTTATATTGGAATATACTTATTTCCAGTGTGCTGGCTGAAGTTTGGGCTAAAGGAATGGCTCCAGACGCCTTGAAGGACAATTCCTGCTTTGAAAAACCTAAAGATTAAGTGTCTGTCTTAATCTGCTCTAAGTAGTCATCATTTGGGTGGTCCTAAATCTCGTATAAGGTTTATACAGATATCTGTGATAGGAAGCCTCTGTGTTTGCAATAAGTAACACTTTTGGTGCCAAATTCTCACTGTTGAAAATATTCTACTACCTAGGATGGAGGCTGTCTGATCAGGCACTTTTATACAGATAATCTGCTGTGTTTGAAAGAGGAAATGTTTCTAAAAGTCTCATGCCCAAATCAGCAGTCACTGTAGACATTTTACTGGGTGTCAGTAGCAAGCCAGTTTTAGAGAATCAGATGGGATAAAATTTGAGTTCTCAGTAGTCATGGAGGAGGGCTGTATTGGTTGTGTTCAGGATGACAAAAATATAGAAAAGGGACAGGAGAGATTTGGCTCAGTATTTCAGAGTGTGAACTGCTCTTGCAGAAGCCAGGAGTTTGGTTCCCCAAATCCACTTGATGCAATCTAATGCCTCACAACCACCTGTAGCTCCACATCTAGGGAGAGCCATTGACTCTGGCTACCACAGGCACCTGCACTTAGGTATGCAGATCCACCCCTCACATATACTTTTTGTTTTTTGAGACAGGGTTTTTCTTCACAGCCCTGGATATTCTGGAACTCTCTCTGTAGAACAGGTTGGTCTTGAAATCAGAGATCCCCCTGCCTTGCCTTCCTGAGTGCTGGGATTGAAAACTTGTGCCACAACTTCCCAGCCACAAATACATAATTTAAAATAAAACCTTAAAGTGCTTTAAGTAAACATTCAATGCCAGGTATGGTGGTACATGTTATGGGATCCAGCATTCCGGAGGTAGAGACACAGGGATTTCTGTGAGTTTGAGGCCAGTCTGGTCTAGATAGCAGGTTACAGGACAGCCAGAACTATATAGAGGCCCTGTATCAATAATTATTTACATACAAATTTGTTTGGTACTGTGGAAGAGTGCATTTCCTAAATTCTGAGGTCACAGAGAAGATGGCCTGGAATGTAGTCAAATGTGCATGCCAGTTGTGACATGAGAGGCTTCCATTATAAATGCCTAAAGACTGGGACTTAAAGAACTAGGAGCATAGTAGTTCTGGCCCTTTGTTCATATCTGTGTAGTGAAGGGGTATCTGAGCAAGGAATTCAGATTTTTTATTTTTTTTTTAAATATAGGTTACTTACGTTATTTCAGCTGAAACAGTCATCAGAAAGAGGAACATGGGATGCCTCATAACTTTTGGATCTCTTAAGAAATGAAATGTGGGTCTTTTCCAATAAAATATTTAGCTGTGATATTATAAGTTAGGATGTTTTTTAGATTCAGCTTGTCTGGTAGAAATCACCCTTTTCCCTTGTACTCTCCACCCTCCAAGACAGGTTTTCTCTGTCTGTGTAGTCCTGGTTGTCCTGGAACCCAATTTGTAGCCCAGGCTGGCCTCACACTCAGAGATCTGCCTGCCTCTCCCTCCTGAGTGCTGGGATTAAAGGTGTACACCACCACCACGCAGCTTCCTTGTAGTTTTTATTTCATTACTTCAGATAATTTATTGACTGAAGCAAAAGTGTTTGCAGGGAGTGCAGGATGGAAGTTTCATGTGGAACCCTTGTGTATTTTCAGCTAGACGTTTGTCCAACAAGCTCTTTATTTTCAGTTGATTTTCTAAAGAGATATTGTCTAATCCAGTTAGGTTGCATGAAGTAAGGAAATCAATGGCAATCATTTTCCTCTCCTTATAAACTCAGACTTTACTGTAGTTGGATACAGAGGATAACTGGTCTTCATGGTCCACCAGATTTCACTGAGATGGAGACCTTCAGTCTTTACCTCAGGGTGAGGACCTAAGCTTGTGGCTCTTGCTAAAAGTGTCTGTGGGACAGCATTCCTCCCTCTGCAGCTGACAACTGAATAGGGAAGCTGCATCAGGTAACAGTTCATATCACAGATCTTACAGACCACCCAGCACCTGATGGTTTGCATGGCTGTGGTTCCATGAAGTATATGAGCACTACTAAAGAGGCTCTGTGACAGACGTGTGCTGATGTGTGGTTTCTAAGGCAAGCTGGGTCTCCAAATAGCATGTCTGCAATGAGGTTTCCCAGAGACCTACTTGCTTCAGACCAGCTTAGAAATTTCCTCTCCAAACATGAGAACCTGGACTTTGTTTTCTGTTTTTGTTTTTAGATAAGCACTTAGGCCTGTGAATATGAATATAAATTTCAGTTCTTAGAAGAATGCCTTGTTGGCATTGTCCTTATTTTATAGGTGACATCCAGGACCCAGAGAGTATAACAGTCTTAAAAAAAGCAAAGAAAATATTAAATGGAGAGGGGGTTTAGATTAGCAGGAAGCAAGTTAGAATTGGAACACTTCTGTAGGGGGCTGGAGTTAACAACCTCTAACATACTTCCTGTAAAAGGAAACAGAGCCACCAAGAGCTGCCAAACTGCTGTGATTGGAAGACATATAGCTGGGAAATAGGATCGTGTTAATGATGTTTCTGCCATATCTCCCGAGAAATAATCATTTTTTCTTATTCTTATTCCGTTACAGACTCAACTGTACATTTTATTTCAGAACTGGAGCATGTCGTCATGGAGACAGATGTTCTCGGTTGCACAATAAACCAACCTTTAGCCAGACCGTTGCCCTCATGAACATTTACCATAACCCTCAAAACTCTGCCCAGTCTGCTGATGGTGTGCGCTGTGCTATGAGTGACTGGGAGATGCAGGAGCACTATGATGAGTTCTTTGAGGAAGTCTTCACTGAGATGGAAGAAAAGTATGGACAGGTTGAAGAGATGAACGTCTGTGATAACCTAGGAGACCACCTGATGGGGAATGTGTATGTCAAGTTTCGTTATGAGGAGGATGCAAAGAAAGCTGTGATGGACTTGAATAACCGCTGGTTTAATGGGCAGCCAATCCATTCAGAGCTGTCCCCAGTGACTGACTTCACGGAAGCCTGCTGCCACCAGTATGAGATGGGCAAGTGCCTAAGAGGGTCCTTCTGCAACTTCATGCATCTGAAGCCAATCTCAAGAGAGCTCAAACAGAAGCTGTCTAGGCTCCATCGCAAGAGGCATAGATCCAGGTCCCGATCCCGGGAAAGGCATTCTCCATCCAGAGACATTAGGCATGGTGGCACCAGAGAAGGTGGAGGACGAGAGCATTACAGGAGGCAGTCCAGATACCTCAAGAGATATGGGAGATTCTGAGCCCAGTTGTTTATACCTGTGTGTCTGTTAAACAGTGTTATAGTTGATTGACAAGCCAGTTCATATTGGAACTTTTTTTTCTTTTAACAACCAAAAACGATGAGTTTTTGAATAAAATTTGTAGTGATAAAATAAGAAAAACCACCTTATTAAATACAGGGTTCAGGGTCTTCCTGTGAACTTTAGTCTGGTGATTTTGTTGTGGTGGAAGCTCTACCTCAGCCCCTGACATCCATATACCCAAAGGGTCTGGGATGATTAGGTGAAACCCCACCTCTCTCTCCCCAGACCCTACCCCTTTCAAAAAGCTTACCAAGCAACAGCCCATCCCTCCTGAAAGCCCCCCGGGGCTACTCAGGACCTGGTAGCCTTTATTGCCATGTGATTCCTAGCCTGCCTTCCCAAGGGTCACCTAGGATTTCTTGCTCTGTTTATTAAACCTGGATTTATTAACTTAGCTTGACTGGCTTATTACATCAGCAGCAACAGAAAAACCAATGATGGGGATTCAAAACTTACCAGTTTTGTTGTCCTGTTAATAAGCAAGTTGATCTTGATATAAGGATCTGAAGCCCCAGAGAAGTCCTTGGCTGACAAATTGACATCTCTGTATCTTCAGGATGAACTGTTTCAAGTGCAGTCATAGTTTAAAATGAAGTTCAGTTTCCCACAGGCTTTGCTGTTACTCTTGTCTTCTCTGTCCAGTGACCTCTGCTTATATAATTCTGGTTTAATTCTATCAATCCCAGTCAACTGCTCCTGCCTCTCAGGCTGTTGGATATTAAAGTCTGGGTTCCACAGGTTGAGTTGTCTTCGGATTGAGATTTGCCTTAAATGAAGAGCAAGACACAGCAGAATTATAACCTCATTAGCTATCTGTCTTTCAAAAAACTTGTGCCTAGAATGTCAGTGTGCTGTTATATTTTGAGAAGTGCTTATGTCTGTGGGTACTTTCTTTTTCTTTTTAGCCTAAAATCAAAATGTTCATCATATGAGTAATGTGAGCAAAGCTGTTCCCTACAGCTTTAGGCTGAAAAGTGAGGCTTGGTATGAGGAAATGCACTTGCAAACATGTGAGCCAAGAGCTCTAAAGGTTTTCATGTACTTTCTAAATGGTCTAATGTGCATTAGAGCCCATATGGCTGGGAGAATGTGAAGATTTGCACAAACAAGCTTCTTTAAGAAGAAAATTACCCACTTTTAGATTATATCCCCAAACTGAAATTATTGGCTATGTATTGTGTTAAGAAGAATGCCTCTTTCTCAAGCTAGGTGTGGTGGTGGCTGATGCCTGTATTTCTAGCACTTGGGAGGCAGAGATGGAACATTTACCAGTGAGTTAAAATCAGCCTAGGCTGGAAAGTGAGACTCAGCCTCGGAAATGAAACCAAACCAAAGATATCTTTATATTACATGAAATTTTCTACTACTGTCTTACAGCTTTGCAAAGACACAAATTTTTACCGGTTCTGATAAAATTCTTTCATTGTGAGAATACAGGTTTTACTATTGTAAAGACCTACAGGACTCAGTTATGTATGCTTGCAAGGGATTTTGTTGGCTGTGACTTGTGCCTCTGTCAGGACAGAGAATATTCTGTCCTTTCCACATGGGTTATCACAAAGTCTCTCTCTCTCTGTCTCTCTGTCTCTGTCTCTGTCTCTGTCTCTCTCTCTCTCTCTCTCTCTCTCTCTCTCTCTGTGTATATGTATGTGTGTGCACATGTGTCTAAAGGTGTCCACAAATGCCAGCAGAAGAGGATGTCACACTATCTGATCTGAACTAGAATTACAGGTTGTTGTCATCTATGCAATATGGGTGCTGGACCCAAATTCCTGTCCTCTGAAAGAGCAGCAAGTGCTCTTAACTGCTAAACCATCTCTCTGGGCCCCAAGTGGCTTCACTTCTGAAAGAAACACTTTTGACAAAGAAATTAAAGATGAGCGACCATAAATTAAGGAAGGTTAGATGCTGATATTAGCACATTAGACTTTGCTAAAGGACTCTAATCTTGACCTCTAAGCTTTGAGTTAAAAGTTTCTCTAAAGTTCCCCTTAAATCCTGTGTCATCTGAATTGGTCCTCATAAGGAGGAAGAAGCAATCACTGAGATATGGCTGGTTATTTGTTTAACTGCATTTTATGTGGTGCTAGGGGTGAACTCAGGGCCTCCTACCTGCTACATAAATGCCCCACTAACTGAATTGGAATTTCCAAGTTTACTTTTTACTTCTTCCTCTAATACAAGCTCTCAATAGTTTCTCTGGCTGATCTTAAACTCACTCTGTAGTGCACATAGGCCTTGAATGTGTGGTCCTTGTTCTTCAGCCTCTAGTAGGCCCCTCTTGCTAGCATTATAGGTCTGCATCAACAGGCCTACAATATGGCTGTACCAAAGGTTACTTTTTTCTTGTTTTTAGCTCAGAGTGCTGACTATATGCTAATTAGCCATAATTAGCTGAATTAAAATAGTGTCTCTAGTGGAAAGTGACAGGACAGCTGAGTTGTCTCTAAGGGACTGGTGACTGGTTGGAGAGGCAGAGCAGATACTTGCATTTGCTTTCCTTTCCTTTCCTTTCCTTTCCTTGAGACTACCTTATGAAATAATCATGTGAAAATGGGATTTACACACCCAAAACATTGAAATCATTCTCGTCTTTATAGCTCAGATGTGTTCATGCTGAACATCCCAATTCATCGTAAAATAGCTCCCTGATCACTAATCACCCATATAGCATCCCTAGATTGCTGTCACAGAAGGATCACTTGTACCTGTCACACTCAACACAGCAAACAGACACATATCCCAGGTACAAAAATTGTCAAACATGCAAAGACTGCAGTCTGAAGGCATCTGCAGCAGATTATAATTTCTTCCAGAGAAATCCAGAATGTTAAAGGTATTTTTTGTGCCTAATGATTTAGGCGAGGTCAGAAAGGCAGGACATGCTTTTAAGTGACCAAACTGGCTGTCCATTAGTGTAGCCAGGCCACTCCCTCATCCAGAAGTGGAGCCTCTGTGGAGCCAGAACAGAGCTTTAATCTTGCTCTGCTGGACTTTGTGTGCAAGAGGGACTGGCACAGAGTAACAGGCATCCTACCCTAGGCCGAAACCAGAAGAGTTAAGGGTGCCAGCTCCATCTCTCTGCTTTTCATCTTTCTTTTCAAGTTAGATCCAGTCATCTATACTTCAGTGAAGTCATTTTATACCATTCTGTCTAAAGACTAGTTAGTAGGACTAACAGGTGATACTAGTTAGTGGTACTCTTTATGTAATAAATTGCACCATTGATAGCCACTGGGTGTGGCCTTGGGGTGTGGTTCAGTTGGTAGAGCGCTTGCCTAACACTCACCAAGCACTGGGTTTAGTCTCAGCACAACTTAATGATGATGGTGCGTGCCTGTCATCCTAACACTCAGGAGATACAGGTTAGGAAGCTTCCAAATTCAAGGTCATTCTTGACTATATGGCAAGTTGGAGGCCAGTGTGGGATATATGAGACCGCTTCTCAGAGACAGCCCCTGAGTGCTTCTACTCAGGACTTGAGTCTGATTGAACCAGCACTGGGCCCAGTCACTGTGCCACACTCTTCCTGGGTTTCTGCTAAGCAGACTCTGCATAGCAGGTTTACTTCATGTTTTTATAGTTCTGGCTGTAGATTCATCACAGAAAAATTTTGTCTGCACCCCTGTCTGTAGAACTAACCTATGGAGCACATTTAAATTTAAATTTAAAATAAATGAAATTACCTATTTAACAGTGGAACATATTCTGCTCAACATATGCATTCCCTTAGACAAAATCTGGAGATATTAGTATTAATTACATGTTTGATTCTAACTAACCACAAGCGATTACCTATCAGTAAAGGGAGAGGGCTGGAGAGGACCTTATGGAGACATTTGTACCTCAAAGGCAGAAGCCAAATCTCATCCCTGAATGTGCAGGAAGACCCTTTTTCCACATTCCAAAACAAATTACATCAGTAAAGTGCTTGCTTTGAACATACAAAAATCTGAGTTCAGAAGGATGGAGCTATGGCTCAGTGGTTAAGAATATTGGCTGCTCTTGCAAAGGACCTGGGTTCGATTCTCAGCACCTATGTGGCAGCCAACAACCTTCTGTAACTCCACTTGCAGGATATCCAACACCCCTTTCTGACCTCTTTAGGTACTAGGCATGCACATGGTGTACACACACCACAATTACATACATAAGACAAGATAAATATAAAACAAAGAAATTGAAAAAAACAAAAGCTGCGTGTTGCAGCACATACTTGTAATCCCCGCACTGGGAAGTTGGAAATAGGTGGATCTCTGGGGTTCAATGGCCAGGCTGCCTAGCCTACTTGCTGAGTTCCATACCCATGAAAGATCCTATCTCACAAGAAAAGACAGTAGATTGTGCCTGTGGAAAACAGATGAGGTTGTCCTCTGGCCTCCACATAGAGATGCCTGTGTGCACACCAGGGGACACACACACACACACACACACACACACACACACACACACACACACCACAATACTCTAAATATCCTTCTTAAAAAATTGGTCACAAATATGTTATTATACAACAAATATTTTACATGTTACCTCATGCCTACTGAAATATTCATCCAGAATTACTAATTTTTAAAGATTTGAGCTCACATGTTTAGTGGGCTTTGTAGCATCAAGAATACCTACCTCTTACGTCTTCATAATCCATACAATCACAGTTTGAGTTTCCCCAGTAGCAAATCCTAGGGCATCTATTTAAGAGCAAGAGTTTTTCTTAGAAGGTGAAAAAAAAAAAAAACATACAGGCAAAGTTGGGGATGTAATATGATGTGTATCATAAAGCCAGTTATCAGAGTCGGGGTGGGGGTGGGGGCTACACATTAAGCTGCTGGAGGAGTTCCATGCATTTCAGAGCTATCCCGCCCAAGAAGTGAAGGTCCTGGGCTCCTCCACCCATTCTTTTCACTCATTGGCTTGAGGGCAGCTCTAAAGAACATTTCATACCAGCAACTCAGCCTACAGCCTAGGAGGAAGAATGAGTTTGAATAGCCAGAAGAAAATCCCACAATAAAAGCCAATGCTGAAGCCACAGTAGAGGTCTGTAGGCATGCCACAAAGGGATGAAGGCAAAGAGATACAGATAGCAATGCTCGTGACTGGGGACCACAGTCCCACGGTATTCTAGAGATATACTCATACCTTTCAAGGCAGAATCTAGTCTCTCCCAGGTTCCTATCTCAAGGTAGGGTCAGAGAGACTGAAGCAGGAATCTGATCTCATCTCTGACACCACTACTTTAAAAAATGTTCCTACACGTCCATTCTGTAGCCCAGGTCCCCAAAAACTCTCCCCAGGTTTTGCCTCTACCAGTCATTTTTTTTACAATCTGCACTGCACCTCCTTGGAGTATTCTGAATGTCTATTATGTGATAGACAGTAAGCTAAGTTTAGAAG